CAGCCCCACCCTAATTTCTCCGTCTGGTGGGGACTCTTGCTTCAGCCAAGGAGCCAATAGTAGATTAGAAAGAATTAATAACCTCTCTTCTCGTTATCGCAAAAAACTGGGGAGACGCTGCGCGATACCACGTGAGGGGGCGGAGCGTTTCCTCATCTAAAGCTCAGCCTGCAAGAAGAGGACTCAGAAGCACATCCCAGTCTCTGGATGCTCCTCGCGGCTCGCCGAGAAGGGGCGTATCAGGTAAGAACCAACGCCCAATCTACCTGGGTCTACTTACAACCTGGTTCCAGCGTTACAATACCACCCCACCCTCCATATTACATGACTGCATGCTGGGCACTCTTCATTTATATTTCCAACCTTTTTGCTTAATGACTCTAGTGTTTTCTTCATTACTGTGATGAGCACTTTAAAATCGTGTCAGTCATTTAATGACTACCAGGAAAAAAATGATATAATCAGGCCAGTCATGTTGATGATCCATTTTACAACCAGCAGGCTCTATTACAGTCATAGGTTGGCCACTACCTGCACTGTGGATTATATTCAGATAATTCTTAATTTACAACCATTTATTTATTGACTGTTCAAAATGGCAATGGCACTGAAAAAAGTGATTTATGACAGGTTCTCACACATATGACCATTGCAGCATTCTCATGGTCACATGATCAAAATTTGGGCACTTGCCATTTGGCATGATCCTGGAGTTATGGGATCACTATTTGTAATCTTCCCAGCTGGCTTCTAACAAGCAAAGTCAATGGGGGAAACCAGATTCACTTAAAGACCACCTGATTCACTTAACAACTGCAATGATTCATTTAACAACTATGGCAGAAAATGTAAAATGGGGCAAAACTCACTTAATAACTGCCTTGCTTTACAATGAAAATTTTGGACTCAATTGTGATTATACATCAAGGACTACTTATATTTTTACCAGGCCATTTTATGTCTGCACTGTGGAGTTAAAGTCTTGGTAGTATTTAGCTTCCTTTCTAGCTGTAACATGATAATGGAGTTCTTATCTTTAGGGAAATTGATGCAATGACTTATATTAGCACGATAGAAGACTTTGCATTCCTTTTTTTATTCTGAACAGCAAATAAATCAAGATTATAAACTTCTCCTTTTGTATAGTCCATCAGTAACGAGTCCTGGACTTCAAAATATAGAATTTCTTTGTTTTTGCATTAGCATTTTTCTTGTAGTTAATAATAGAGCAGAATAACACAGTTGGAAGGGACCTTGGAGTTCTTCTGGTCCAACCTCCTGCTCAGGCAGGAAACTATATCATTTCAGAAAAATGGTTGTCCAATCTCTTGTTAAAAACTTCCAGTGTTGAAGCATTCACAACCTCTGGAGGCAAATTGTTCCACTGATTAATTGTTCTAACTGTCAGGAAATTCCTCCTTAATTCTAGGTCGCTTTTCTCCTTGATTAGTTTCCATCCACTGCTTCTTGTCCTGCCTTCAGGTGCTTTGGAGCAGGGGTCCCCAACCACCGGTCCCTGGACCAGTACCGGTCCGTGGAACATTTTCTACCGGGCCGCCGGTTTGCTGGGCGCCGCCATCTTGTTTTGATGAGAAAGTTTTTTTAAAAGACTCCAATTTTTCTTCTTTCCTTTCTCCCAAAATGAAAATACGAAAAATGAACTGCATAAAGTTCTGCTACAGCAGGCATTCGTTCCCCCAAAAAGGAACTCACAAATTACAGAACAAAAAATAAAAGAGAGGTAGGACCAGGATATAGGCAGACGCAAAACTTTATATGCAAAAAATAGCCAATCTGGGCGGTTAGCCCTGAGGGAAGTGGGGGGGGGGCGGGGAATGGTAACAGCAGGCATGCATTTTTCAAAAGAACCACACAGGCTGCTGAGCCCTGGACAGAAAGAGTGAGCCAAGTAACATTTTGTTGCTTCCTGATTGACTAATTTCAAGCTCCCGGCTGCACTAATTGGGCAGGGCTGTGTCGCTCACATGACCTCCAGGCGCGAGATTAAATTCAGACGGCCGTGTAGGGGGATATCGGAGTCGGTTGCGCCGCTTCTGCGGGAGAATCTTTTCATTGCAAGGCAAGCGGGTGGGTAAGCGCCGTGAGGTGGGGGGGGTCAGATGGGGTGCCGCTGTTAAAAAAAAAAAACTGAGCGAAAACAAATTTAATTTGGATTTAGTGGAAGGACAAGTTTTCCACTTTGTTGGATGGGTTCTAGTTGAACAAATGAAGCCGAAAAAGGGGGCTCTTGCTTTGGGGTCGCTCGGCTCGCCTTGCCTTGTCATGTGTGCTGATGCCGGTACCGGGCCGCGGATCATTTTGTGATGCCGGTACCAGGCCATGGCACAAAAAAGGTTGGGGGCCACTGCTTTGGAGAATAGCTTGACTTCCTCTTCTTTGTGGCAACCTTTGAGATATTGGAGCACTTCTATCATGTCCTTCTTTTCATTAAACTAGACATGCTCAATTCCAGCAACCGTTCTTTATATGTTTTAGCCTCCAGTCCCCTAATCGTCTTTGTTACTCTTCTTTGCAATCTTTCTAATGTCTCAACATCTTTTTAGATTGTGGTGACCAAAACTGGATGCAGTATTCCAAGTGCATTATAAAATGATATCACATAACACTTTATGTGATCTTGATTCTATCTCTCTGTTAATGCAGCCTAGAACTGTGTTGCCTTTTTTGGCAGCTACAGCATACTGCTGGCTCATATTTAAGTGATTGCCCACCTGGACTCCCAAGATCCCTCTCACAGGTACTACTATTGAGCCAGGTATCACCTATTCTATACCTGTGCATTTGGTTTTTCATGCCTAAATGTAGAACCTTACATTTTTCACCATTGAATTTCATTTTGTTAGATAGCTCCCAATGTTCAAGTTTGTCAAGATCCTTCTGTCTTTTAAGCCTATCTTCTGGAGTGTTGACCATTCCTGCCAGCTTGGCATCATCTGTAAATTTGATGAGTTCCCAATCTATTTCCTCATTCAAAATCATTGATCAAGATGTTGAAGAGTACTGGGTCTAAAGCAGAGCCTTGGGGCTCTCCACTGCACACTTCCTTCCACGTTAGATGCAACTCCATTGAGGACTACATATTGAGTATGGTTGGACAGCCAATTACAAATCCATCTGGTGGTGATGCTGTTCTAATCCATATTTTTCTATCTTATCAAGTAGTTGGTTGTGGTCTACTTTATCAAATGCCTTAATGAGGTCCCAAGTAAATTATATCCACAGCATTCCTCTGATGCACTAATTTTGTCAAATAATGCAATAAGATTTGTCTGGCATGATCTTTTTTTGACAAACCCATTTTGGCTTTTGGCTATGACTTTGTTCCCTCTAGGTATTCGTGATTCGTTGCTTGGTTATCTTTTCCATAATCTTCCTAGGTATTAAGGTCAGGCTGATAGGTCTGTAGTTTCCTGAATGTATCCCCCCCCCCCCACTTTTTTTTTTGAAGATGGGAACTACATTAGCTCTTTTTCAGTCCTCTGGTAGTTCCCTGGTGCTTTAGGATCTCTGAAATATATAATTCAATGGTTCTGAGATCACATCTGCCAGTTCCTCCAGAACATTGAGATGTAATCTGGCTGCTCCTGGCTATTTGAACTTGTCTAGGGTGCTCACCATTTTCTTGCCTATTTTAACTTAATAGTTAATAGTGAAAGATTAATATACTCTGAAATATACATTCAGCACTTCTTTGAATTAAAATTAATATTTAAAATAATTGCAAAAAATTGAGAGTCATGAATCAAGGCAAATGTATGTGTTCCAAGATAACGTCACAAGATCCAATCTGGGTTGGTCACCAGAGGTTTAGTCTTCCGAGCTTTCAGACTCAGGTTGGTGCCCATCCTCAGGGAACTTCTCTCTCACTAAACTTCTGGTCCCCATGACTGACCCAGGTTGGATCCTACAAATTTGAGAGTGCCATCTGTTTCACTGCAAACTGCATAAAAGACTAGAGGACTACAATGCTCTCTGGGGAAAATTTAGTTTTAATATATATTTGTGAATTAAAAACAGAAACATCTTGTGCTCCCAACTTTTGTATTGCCTTGTGTGTACTTAATAGATTAGTAAACTTGAGGTATATCACTGTGTATATTCTATTGTAAGCTGCTGCAGGCCAATTCTCGATTTAAAATGTTAGATCACCACTGATTTAACAACTCAGAGACATTTCCTTATATCAGAATTATTCATTTGTTTCAAAATTTCTGGCTTTTCAAGAAAAAGTCCAGGCTACCAGAGTAGCATTTACTTACCTATTTTTGGGTTTGGCTAGTCTAAAGAAAGGAAGAATTAGGGGTGATATAATAGTAGTATTCCAGTCTTTGAAGGCTGCCACAAAGAAGAGGGGGTCAAATTATTCTACAAAGCATTAGAGGGAAGGACAAGAAACAATGGTTGGAAACTAACCAAAGAGAGAAGCAACCTGGAATTAAGGAGAAACTTAAGGAAAAACTAATAGTGAGGACAAATAACCAATGGAATAGCTTGCCTTCAGAAATCGTGGGTGCTCCATCACTGGAGGTTTTTAAGAAGACACTAGACAGCCACTTATCTGAAATAGTATAGGTTCCCCTGCTTGATCAGGGGGCTGGACTAAAAGACCTCCATGGTCCCTTCAACTACTGCAGCAAAACCATTTTTGTGGTATCTGAAAGGTTCTGAAGAGCTAACAAATCTTTATTACTGCAATTGAAACATTCTATATAGTTTATTTGTAAAGTGTATTTCTCTGTTAATATAAGGATTTTAAAAGTTTAAAATATATGAATACAGTGCAGTTATGTTTACTAATATTAAATATAAATATGCAGCATAACATTTAACCGAGATGGACATGTGACTGATATCTGCATTAATACATCAGCTTTGACTTCCTATAATTTAATTACAAACAGAAAAGTTTTTCCTAATATGATAAAACGATAAGTTATTTTTGTGTGACAATCTTTTATGTGTTCTTTGTTTCTTGGTAGATGATGATGTACCTGCAGATATGGTTGCAGAAGAATCGGGTCCTGGTGCACAAAATAGTCCATACCAACTTCGCAGAAAAACTCTTTTACCTAAAAGAACAGCTTGTCCTGCAAAGAGCAATATGGAGGTATTTAAAAAAGAAATTTTTTAGAGTAGATAAATAACTGGGCATAATCTAGTCCAGAGAATGTTGTGAAGGGAGCATATGTAAGAATACCAATATCAATAAAATTTGAAGAAGATTGGTTGGGATGCTTGACTGAATCTAGTAGCTAGAAGAGATGCTTAAAATGTTTTTACTTTTTCTTGTCAGGGTGCTTCTACTTCAGCGACAGAAAACTTCGGCCATCGAGCAAAACGGGCCAGAGTATCTGGAAAATTACAGGATTTATCAGGTAATCCCTGTTTTATAGGATGGAGTGCTGTGTAAAAAAATTTAGTCTTCCACGTTTCCTTTGAATTTTTTAAATGAAAAGCAAATAGGATGCTGACTTTAGACCTCTTTGTTTTAAGTAATCTGATTTTAATGTCAAACAAGATAACAGTAAGGTCTATGTGTAGCAAGTAGTTCTGTTTGCCATGTAGATGAGAAAGATTTTTAATTGATAGATGCAATTAATAGCACTTCTGAACAGTGCAATCCTATGAGTCGTTTTAGAAGTAAATAGAAAAATCTCAGCCTCTAGAGCAGAGGTGGTATTCAGCCAGTTCTGACAGGTTCTGGAAAACCGGTAGTGGAAATCTTGAGTAGTTCAGAGAAGCGGTAAATACCACCTCTGGTTGGCCCCGCCCCCATCTATTCGCTGCCTCCTGAGTCCCAGCTGATCAGAGTCCCAGCTGATTGGCTGGGTCTTCTTTTGTTGCCCTGCACAAGAGAATGGAGCTGGAAAGCAGGTTAGTGGGGTGGGGTAGAAATGGGGATTTTACAGTATCCTTCCTCTGCCATGCCCACCAAGCCACGCCCACCAAGCCACCCCCATAGAACTGGTAGTAAAAAAATTTGATTACCACCACTGCTCTAGAAATATAATAAAGATTATAGTACTGTAACCTTGAAATGTTCCAAGCTCAAAACACCTATTTTTGAGTGTTCTGGGCATGAATTGTGTTTTCTAAAGTTATGTTCCAAGCATGAGACAACTTAATTGTTTCAAGAGGTGTCATTTTGAGGCTATTGCAAGCACTCCAGTTGAGCTGATATTCCTCGGCTTGTGATTGGCCCTGCTTGTTTCCTCAATTTATTGTACTTAGCCAGATTACAGCAAAAACCAGCAGCATATTTTTGCCATTGTTGGCTTAGACCAGGTGGCATAGGGAAAGGAAACAGTTAAACATAATGGACAGAAGATTTTAACAATCGCATGTTGCTAGCCTATTTTATATGCTGTGGTTCTTCTGAGGAAGTTAGAGTTCATCTAGATTATTATTTCCATGAATGTTGCATGGTGCTTTATTTCACAGGTTGATAATACAAAGATGTAGGTACACACTAATTTGCACAGAAGTATTGCCAGTGCTGTTGAATAAATGTCCAGCACAGTGTTTGTTCAGTTGATGTGTATCTGCACATTGTCTTTGTAGTAAAGCTAATGTTATTTATGCAGTTTATTTTATTCATTAAATTTATATGCTGTTCATCTCACTATCAAAGTGCTTCTGTGCAGCAGGAGTCCCACCCATCAACTCCCCCCCCCCTTTTCAGCCAGTTGCCAGATATATGTGCAAGTAACTAGAATAGTCTGGAAGAGAACCAGGAAAAAATAAAACCCATAAACCTTGCCTACAGTAAATTGGCCACAGAGATTTTTTTTATTCCCAAAACTTTAAACAAATCATTTAATATAAAAGTATTAATATCAAACAAATATTAAGAATGTAGTTGCTCTCTTTGTCTATAATCTCTTGACTGAGTGCTACAGAGATATTTTATTTGAAGAGTAATATATGTGCTTCATTATTTAATATGCCTTTTCTCCTCCCCATTGTGGTTGTACCAGTGTGCCCTTATTTATTATTTTTATTGCATTTAAGCAGCTCGAGCAAATGGAATAAAATATATAAAGCCATTACAAGGGCATTCCATTTGAAATGAGGAATTCCTTTAGGAACTTCTGGGCATTGTAATGAACTTTTTATCCCCTTCTCTTCCTATATTTTCCTGTCAACCAGACAACTGAACTCATACCAGTCTCTGAATGCTATGTCTTTAGAAGCTCTCATCTTACACAATACTATGCTGCAAGCAAAGCTGTTTTGTGTATTCCTTTGTTCTCCATCAGCAAAGGTGGCTATGTATCTTTATCCTATTGACTCAACTTTTGTAGTATAAAGGGTTTGCTTACATATTGTCCCCTTTGTGTAGAAGTCTGCTGTTAAAGTTGTTCACTAAATTAGGAGTTAAACTAGAAGCTAGTTTCTCCTATTGCAGAAAAACTGTTGAAGATCTCCACCAGCCATGGATATCTTGAGTGGTATGAATATACAGGAATGTGGAGACTAGATTTTGGAATATGAGCTCGCCTTCCTTGATGGCTCCTTACTTGAAATTATGAAATATCCAAATATTTTGAGTGATTTCTGTCTGCCGTGTGCAAGTATCAGGAAGATTTTTAAAAATCAGAAATTTAGTGTTGTTCATTGTCTGTCCATATTGATTGCTAAGCATAGTTGTTTGTTGTAATTTACTCAAAATTTATCATTTTTATAGTTTATAAAGCTGGACACATACCTATGTTTTATGTTTTGATAAATAACTTACAGGCTGCTGCTGCTTATAATCTTTTCAGTCAGATCATGAATATAAGAAAGATACAAGATGTTTATGATCTTTCTTGATGAAAATAATCCAGACAATTTAATCCTGTTATTCATGTTTTGTATTTTAATAGCAGCACCTGCAGAACAATATCTTCAAGAAAAATTACCTGATGAAGTGGTTCTGAAAATCTTTTCATACTTGCTAGAGCAAGATCTTTGTAGAGCAGCGTGTGTATGTAAACGTTTCAGTGAGCTAGCTAATGATCCAATTTTGTGGTAAGTGATAATTCTTAATTATTCTGAAATATACTACATGTTATCAAGCACCATAAGAAAAATGAATTCCTAGTTAGTTGTTTTTATTACCTTGAATGAAAACAGGTATTTGAATTGTAAGAAATGTTGTTTGGCACATATTTCAAACTGTATGCCTATTCTTCTTTAATGAATCCTGTCAGTCTAATTTGGCGATCTTGGAGATTTTGCTATTTTTTAAATAGAAATCTATTTCTACACTCAGAATAGTAGAAATACTGTTAAAAAATTCAGGAAAGATTTCTGAATTCTCCATAGTCACTTGGATTTTTTATTTCTCTAATTTTGTCTTCACCATTGTAAAATTATGCTAATAATGTTCTGATTATCTACATATCAATATATATTGAATACTGACTGTTAAGTAAACTTATTTAGTTAGATTTTACTACGAATGACTTAAGGGACACATCACTGTAGCTTTACAGTCCTACTTAGTTTCCAAGCTGAAATAAGATTGGCCAGATGCTGCCACCTGCTGAGATGTAAATACTGTAGTTTTTTTTTTTTTTTTTTGAATGATGTTTTTAAACAAATACAAACAAAGATTTGTAAAAGAAAAAAATCAACCACAGGAAAAACATAAAATAAAACAAGCCATTAAAACAAAATTATAATAAAAATATTTAGCAGACTGTAAATATGTAAAAGGGCAATTCATTTGTCATAAAAACTTGATTTTAGCTAGCACCAAAAAGAATTAATAAAAGCTCTAGCTCTAAACGTTAATGAATTCAAAAACAGAATAAATCATGAATCAGTGCTAAAATGTGTAAGTTCTTTCACCTCCTCAGACATTGATTTAAGAAAGGATTATTTTGTAACAGGTAATATATTGTATTTGCAGAATGCATTATTTCATATCTAATCATCATGCAGTTCTATGAATGCTACTCAGGATATGATTAGCCACTTGCTTGGTTTAATTTTTGATTCAGAATTCCAGGAAAAACCAACACATTTTGCTTTTATAGAAGAATCTTTAATAGCAAGAGAGATTAATTTGTGAAGGAAAAAGAGAAAAAAAGAGTTGATGAACAATTATTTCTGCTCAACCAGATTCTTCTATAGACCCATAACCTTAATCCCTTGTTCATGTTTGTGCTTGTATTGAAATAAATTCATATCAAAAACTACTCTTAATGACTATGATTTCATACAATTTTTATCTGTATAGTTTATATCTGTGTTCTCTTAAAATTTATTCACAATTTTCTATTCATAATGTCTTTATTCAGGAAACGATTATACATGGAAGTATTTGAATATACACGTCCAATGATGCATCCTGAACCTGGTAAATTCTATCAAATAAATCCAGAAGAATATGAACATCCAAATCCCTGGAAAGAAAGCTTTCAGCAACTGGTATATATATATATATGTTTTTAAAGCCTTCTTATTTATGTTGCATTTTTACAATGGTTGAAATGGTCCTGGTCATGATGTGCACTGAAGATGGTGTTTGATTTCATTGTACGAGGTGCAATGACAATAAAGTAAACTAAAAATGCTGAAGAACAGTCAACAGCTTTCTTTCTCACTTCCATCATTTTATACTTTTGAGATCTTGATTCGCTTTTACTAGTATGATAGCTTTATTTCTTAAATCCCTGGTTCAGTTCATTACAATAAAATTACATATCTCTATGCAGATGAAATATAATTCTTAAGATGTTATTTGGAGCATTTAATATATAGTTTGTTGGACTAAACTGGAATGAAAAGAATGCCTTTTTGTTTTGTGAAGAACGTTCTATTAGGAGCATATTAATAGAAAAACTTAAAAACTGTAGAAGAAACTGATCAAAGTGTATGGAACAATAAAGAGAGATTAGGTTTTTTTTAAAAAAAGAATATAAATGTATGTCTATATTGTAGTATACAGGTAGTCTTCATTTAGCGACCACATTTGGTTCCAAAAACTGTTGTTCAGCTAAGTGATAACTAAGTAAATCCACGACTCGGGACCTTACCGCAGCTTTCCTTTGCTTTACAGACCTGCAAAGGTTGTAAATGTGATTATTGGTCATAAAGTTACTTTTTCATCACCATCATAACTCTGAACAGTCGCTAAATGAGGCAATCTATAAAGAAGGACTAACTATAATAATGAAACATAAATAACATTGAGTGAGAACTCAAGAATTTAAGTCAAAAGTGATTGCAAAAATGGGAAGCTTTGGTATTCAACACACATACTTTCTGTTCTCACATAATTTGTGAAATCAAGAAAAGTGATACATAAAACAAATGAATAGTAATTAATATGACTATTTCAACAGGTTGAGAATTCTTAGAAAATCATTTTATTCATAGTCTCTTATATCTTCCTCATTTTTGTGGTCTTATGGCTGTGTGTGTGTGTGTGTAAAACAAGCAGTAACACAATATAACAACAAAAAGCATAATATTTTTTTTGCATTCTTCATACAGTTTTATGGAAACTTCCATATCCTATGTCCAGTGTTGCCTGTTGAAGTTGGAAGCCCCTTATAAGATTCTAATTAAGTCTACTTCCTAACTCCTACCAAATTCTTTTCATATCTGTTTCTTGAACTAGACTAGGCTGAAATTTAGAACTATCTACTGAGAACAATTAATGATGTATTGAAATAATGTGAATTACATCCAGGAGTTTTGCAATACAATATTTAACATGTGTGTTATTAATTCTCTTTCTCTGGCAAAGCTCAAAAAGTACATTTTACCATAACTTAATATTTTTTTTCTCAAATTTTAGTATAAAGGAGCCCATGTAAAGCCAGGATTTGCTGAACATTTCTATAGCAACCCAGCAAGATACAAAGGAAGAGAAAACATGCTGGTACATTTTAAAACCACTCTAATTGATTGCTAGTATAGTTTTTCAAAATAGCTATTTATCTCTAAACAGTTCCTTTGTCTTCTTTTAGTATTATGACACCATTGAAGATGCACTAGGTGGTGTTCAAGAAGCTCACTTTGATGGACTTATCTTTGTTCACTCGGGCATATACACAGATGAATGGATATACATTGAATCTCCTATAACGATGATTGGTGCAGGTATTCAATTTGAAAAACATCTTAATATCACTTGCTTTAATTGACTTTTATATTTAACTTTCAATACATACAGCCCTTGCTTTATAGTCATGTGAGAAATATCAAGACAATAAATTAATGAGTTATTTTTATTATACCAAAGTTCCAGACAGCACTCTATTTCATTTCATATTGTTTTGTTTTTGTTTCTGAGGAAACATTAAAAACTTGAATAAGCTCCCCCATTCTTCTCTTTCCCAATAGTCCAGCCTCATCAGATTTCTTTCTTAGAAAGAGACCAGCATTTAAGTTCTTTACCTCCTTCCTTTTAATCCGGTATTTCAAATAAACCCACTTATTGTGCAATAGTTTCTCTTTTTGATGATTGTTTTATTGTTCTTCCCCTTATATATATTTTGCACTTTTGATAAAACTAATTCACTTTATTTTTTGGCTCCTATATACTTGATACTGCATTTTTTGTTGCTAAAGTCTTTCTATTGATCCTTTATTAAGAATCAGCTTAATAAACTGGAGTTTCATTAACAATGATGTTATTATAAATTTCCTAATTGTGTTGGGCTTTTTTACTTTTTTATTCTGCAATGGAAAGTCTCTGTACTATAACGGAAGTTTCCATGCATGTTTTGCTGCATTGTTTTTCTCTATTGAATACAATTTCAGTGTCAATAAATTTTCCTTTTGTCTTTAAATGTTATTTTAGTTTAAAGATGCTAATTTTGCTCCTTTGTCAAAGAACGCAATAAGATTTATCTGGCATGATATGTTTTTGACAAAATTAGCACAGCTGAGATTAAAATTAAAATGATTAATTATAACTTTGTGCTCCTTCTGGTGGTTTTTCAAATAGATATTCATTTGATTAAACATAGTGCAGATGTGAGTACCATTGTAACTTATTTTGGTTTAAAGAATTCTCTACATAATATATAACAGCCTGAACTATTTAGTACTTTATAATCAGTTCTGTGTTCTGTTTCTCTGCCCTGAATGAGATTATGTTGTGAAGTCAATATTGGCTTATGGCAACTCTATGAATATTGTTCTCAACTGTGAGTTCTCTCTACAGTTAGGTGACTAATCGTTATTAGAATAGCAACCATCACTGTTGTTATATTAATCCATTGCATTACTGGTTTTCTTTGTGTATTTTCTTAAATCTTGCCAAGCACAAAGATTGTCTCTTTGCTTGTCATGTTCACAGTATGAAAATCATTATTTGTCATTTGAGCTTTGATTGATGGTATAGTTCCTTCTATTAAAACTAAAATTAATGTCTGGCTTAAATCTGAGGAAAAACAATTTTTAAAATTTTTGTAAAATAAAGTTATTGGACTGAATGTCTCAAAAGACTTAAAACAATTTGAACTGTCATCTGAACTGTTCAATATAACGTTTGCAAAAAAAAATGGCAGGTCTTGGGTTACTACTTTTTAAAGGGACTAGAAATAGAAACTATGGTTTGTAATTTTCATTTAGTAATTTATTTAAAAAATTTATATTTTTGTAAAGCTCCTGGGAAAGTAGCAGATAAGGTCATTATTGAAAACACAAGAGATTCAACCTTTGTCTTCATGGAGGGATCAGAGGATGCTTATGTTGGTTACATGACAATCAGGGTAAGAAGAAAGATGGGCAAATACTTGCTTTGAACCTGTTGCACTGAAAGAAATGAATAGCTAATAAAGGGATTTATTGTATGTTTTTTCAGTTTAACCCTGATGACAAATCTGCACAACATCACAATGCTCACCATTGCTTAGAAATCACAGTTAACTGCAGTCCAATAATAGATCATTGTATTATTCGAAGTACTTGTACAGGTATGTAATTTCTTTGTAAAACAGTTAAAAAGTAGAAAACATTATTTGTAGATAATTTCTAAACTGTATTCATGTGTGCAATTGAACCTTGCCTTCCCAGGTGATGAAATTTCATGTACTAATATGAATTTTCCACCTAATGACAGTCTTTGGGTTCTTAGAACTTTACTTTTTTAAACGTTTGTTCACTTGTTCCCAGGTATCCCTAACTGATAATTTATGGTAGGGGTGTGCAAAAGTTCCATTTTGGGGAATATTTGAAAGTGTTATGCTTCTTACAGCTCATCCCAATCCAACTCTTCTAGGAGTGGTCTGGCAGACTTCCAGAACAGGAGGTGGTTTGTTGTATTCCTTCTCCACAGAGCTCAAAGCAGAGTATTTTATATATCCTTAATTTAGTATTATACAAATGGTTATACTGCTCTTCTACAAGATATAATTTATTTAGCTTAGTGTTGTATTTTGAAAGGCCAAGATTACATAATTGGCAAAAACTATTCAAGTTATTCCAATTGCAAAAGCATAACTGATGGTATTTGTTTCACATATTTTATGAAAGACAAACACTTACCTCATTTTTTTGTATGTACAAACTTCATTTTCAGTTGGTTCTGCAGTTTGTGTTAGTGGCCAAGGGGCTTGTCCCACTATCAAGCATTGTAACATAAGTGACTGTGAAAATGTTGGACTCTACATCACAGATCATGCACAGGTAACACTTCTTCCATTTTTCTTTTTTGATATTTTTTATTGTTTTCTTTCTTAACTATTTTAACTCATCCTAAAACATTCTTTTCTAACCTTTCAGGGGATATATGAAGATAATGAGATTTCTAATAATGCATTAGCTGGGATTTGGGTTAAAAACCACGGAAACCCTATTATAAGACGAAATCACATTCATCACGGGCGAGATGTTGGTGTTTTTACATTTGATCATGGCATGGTAATGTATATTTCTCTATGTGCAAATATAGATAGGTGCGTTTTGCAGACAGATTTTTATCTGTTTGTATGTCTCTTGGAAAATGAAGCTTTTGTGAACATTCAAGCTGTGTTTGTTCGTTAGTTCATTAGTCTCCATTACCAAAGTATTTATAGAACAAGTATATAGTATGTTTAGCAGGGAAAATTGAAGTCAAGAACCTTGGGAGACAATTACCTTCGTGATATCCTTATGTTTCATAACTCTTACTCTCTCTGTATTTAAGAAACATAGTCAATTATCACTTAAAACATAAACTCTTCTAAAGCTATTTTCAATCCTTCAGTTATTGCTCATAATTGTACTTATATATGAGTGTGGCAGCTTTTTTCTATTGTATCAATTTAAAAATATAACTGCAAATTCTCTTTACTCTTTTTTTCTTTCCAAGCATGGTTACAAAGGCATTGTTTTATATTCCAGAAGACATAAAATGGGAACTGCAAGCAGTAGAAAGCTTGAAATGAATGAATTTTTCTCTCTTAATTTTATATTTGGATATGTAGTTACAGTTGGGATGATGTTTGCATAAATCCCTTATCACAATATCTTAGTTTTGCTATTTTTACAATTACACCTTGACTTAACTGGGAAACTATCATCTTTTATTTATGTACTGAATTGGAATTGTCCACAATTCCAATTCAGATATATTTAGTATTTTGATGGGTGTGGCATTATTTGAATTTCTGCTTCTTGGTGCTGCCACAACACAAGACTTTATGTGTTATAAGTTGCCATTTTTAGAATATTTGTGTTAGTTTATCACTAGTTGGAACTATTTCTTGGTTGCTAGTATAAATAGTTACTTTTCAATGTGCTTCCATGTTGGTTCTTTCATTTCAGACATTGGACATTATTGCCAAGAACCTGGCGAGCTCCCATATTTCTGATATAAATTATATTTATTATATTCCCTGGGTCCCAGAAACAATATTTATTTACTAACTTTATGTTACTGCAAAGCTTTGATGCTGCTTCTTGCAAAATATTATTGCTAGTCAGAATGTTTGACTTCGGAAAAAGAGCAGCAGACTGTGACAAGTCATGTTGTGATTTTACCTAATTTTAATTCAAAGTCAATGTAAAATCCTTTTGTTCCAAATTAATAATCAAGGGGCTATGTTGACACTTTCCTCTAAAATAAAATTTGATAAAAGTCAGTTTATTAAAGTCATACTTCATTACAGATCTGGAGGAATTTTGGATGTTATGATTTAAGATTTAAAATTTTGTTTCAAATACATTGTTCTCTATTTGAATGGATTTCCTGCATTTTAAAACTTTCATGTTCAAAAGTACTAGCATCCCAAAGATCTTTTGAAACAAGCTCGGCTACGCAGGCTAAGGATATAAATATTTCCCAAAAAAAGTTTTTTGCACTATTGAGCTTTTCTTGTCCTTTAGAGATCACAAGTCTTGGTGATGACATGGGGACGTCTCTGGAAGAGGCAGAAAATGTTGGCCTTAATATTTAAAAATTAAAATAGCACACCAAAAAGTCTGCAATGTATTGTGGAATTCAATCAGCAGAATTGGGAGATAAGTTTCTAAGTGTTGCAAAAACAGGATTGGAAGCTGCATGTAGTTTGTAAGCCAAGGTTATTCAGCCCTGCTATAGTACATAATTTTTGCTATATGAACATTTCTTGAGAAAATAAGGGTTGGTTATGTTGAATTAAATAAGAAGACTCTTTTTTTCAACTGAAAAAGGGCTTAATATATTTACTGTTATTAAGAGTGCAACAGATGGTTTGAAAGAATACAATAACATTTTTCTTATTATTTTCATGCCATAGAAATAAATATTAGCCAGCTTAGTATAGTGGTTAAAGTACCATGCTATAAACTGGGAAACTGAATTCTTGGTTTGCCTTAGGCACAAAGCCCACTGTGCCAATCCTTGTCTCTGGGAAAGGCAAAAACAAGCCACTTCTCAAAATGTTGCCTAGAAAACTGCAGGGACTAAAAAGCACCATAAATAAATAATTTTAATAGTATTACATATTCTTGTGTACTGACATGTTTCATTACAACCTACAATTAAGTAGGTAGTCAGAAGATAATTTCTTCCTATTGTTTCTCCTTGCCTCCCAACATTCTCTCTCCCCTTCCTCTTCTTCTCCCCTGGTCTTATGTTTAGGGTTATTTTGAAAGTTGCAACATACATAGAAATAGAATAGCTGGTTTTGAAGTGAAAGCATATGCAAATCCTACTGTAGTTCGTTGTGAAATCCACCATGGGCAAACTGGAGGAATCTATGTCCATGAAAAAGGAAGAGGACAATTTATAGAAAATAAAATCTATGCAAACAATTTTGCTGGTGTATGGATTACTTCAAATAGCGATCCAACCATAAGGTACTATCTTTATTTTAACTTACAGATATTTACCCTAGGAAGTATTGCAAAATATTTTCTGTAGATTATTTTAGTCATTTGGGAATCATCTACTTTCTAAATTAGTATTTGAAGTAGGAACCAGACGTTCTGGATGTGAAACCTTGTATAAACAATCTTAAGCTCTCCAGATTAAGAGCACATTATATCTGCAATTATAACATTTGAAAAGTAAGTTTAGATGAGAGACGGGTAATATTTTACTGTGTAGAAGACTATGTTGTATTATGTAAGTTATTGAGGAATGTGTGATATACAGAACTAAAGCAAACTAGGGCTAAAAATGTTTGACTTTTTTTCTTCAATGATATCCTGTTCTCTTGCTTTCTCTGTCCCCTCCCTGTCCCTTATTTCCCTAAGCAGCAGACTGCAAAAAGCAGAAAGATGGTTTGAACTAGAAGTTTGGAGATAACTTGGGGAGAGGCAGGGGAGGGAGAGATCAGGTGGAAGCATTTGGAATTAATTTGACGCAGTTAAAAAGATGATAACTGACAATATTATTTTCTGGTTTTAAACCTTTAGGGGCAATGCAATTTTTAATGGAAACCAAGGTGGAGTCTACATATTTGGTGATGGAAGAGGTCTTATTGAAGGAAATGACATTTATGGTAAACAAATATTTGCTCAGTTGCATTTAATATTCTTTGTGACTTTATAAGCCACATTTTCTTACGCTTTTCTTATTCCAACAGGGAATGCATTAGCAGGAATACAAATTCGGACTAACAGCTGTCCTATTGTTCGGCACAATAAGATTCACGATGGCCAACATGGTGGTATATATGTGGTAAGCATAGTTTTGGAATAAACATTGAAGATTCATTATTTAGCTCTATTTTCAATATTAATTGTGTAGATAATTGAAAAACATAGGATGAATATGAACACATGGAACTATAGGAGTTCTAAAATGCATGAAAAGGAGGGGTGAGTTTACTGTCAATATGTGCTCCTCCTTTGCTCCAATCCGTATACACATCTTGAACTGCTGACAAAGTGAGCTGTACTTTGATATAACAGTAGATGGAAAACATCATATTCAGGAAGCAGTAATGCAAAACAATGTTCATTAAACACCCTGATCTACCTATCTATCTATCTGTTTTTTATGTACTCGACTTCCAGTGACTCTGAACAGTTGAGACAGCAGAGTGAGTGCTATTCTCAGAGAGTTGGTTGGTTGGAGGAATAGGAAAAATATTTCATGTGTGAGAGCATGTAGTTTTGTGTGATGGTGACCATCAGACCAAAATATGTTTTAATGTAAGCAGTGGTGGTTTAGTGTGGAAAATAAGAAAGGAAGCAGCAACACTAAGGTGAGATGAAAGAGAGGAAGGCTCTGACAAACTCGGGAAAGATGGGTCAGTGTGGCAGCTAAGAAGAAAGTTAAAAGAAAAGAGGGCTATGAAGATCAGTAGGTTGCCTGGCACATAGGACACACAAAGGGAGTGGTGGAATGAGAGATGAGGTGCACCAAACTTACTTTATCTGCCACACAGAACTTCGCTGGATTTTTGTTTCAGCCAAATGCTGGCACCCAAAATGCTTGGTTTTGGTTAGGTTAGACCATGACCTATCTTGATCTCCAAATGTTTGCTTAAGGTTTGAACAAAACACATTTTTCACTTTGTAGATAAACAACCCCCTCCCCCACTTGCTTGTAACCCGAAACGGGGGGGGGGACTCTTCGAAGGAATTGACCAAATTGATTGCAGGTTGCACTTGATTTGCATACTTTTGTTTTGTTTCAGCATGAAAAAGGCCAAGGTGTGATTGAAGAAAATGAAGTTTACAGTAATACCTTGGCTGGAGTCTGGGTTACAACAGGAAGCACTCCAGTTTTAAGAAGAAATAGAATACATAGTGGTAAACAGGTATGTTGCTTACTATTGTGTGAGTTACAGCAACACTAGTTTCATTTTTTTTTTACTATTTTTCTGTTTATGCTTTAGGTTGGTGTCTATTTCTATGACAATGGGCATGGAGTATTAGAAGACAATGATATCTATAACCATATGTACTCAGGAGTTCAAATCAGGTAAATTATACTTTTATTTACTTCCTTAAAAGAGGCTTAGTATATATTGTTTTTATTCAGTGACTTCCTTTTCCTTTAAAATGATCCACACATGGGATTGTGTCTGTCTTTGTGTGTTTTCATGTCTAATTGCTTTCTTCTTCTGTTTAATGAGAGTGATATTTCAAATGATAATCTAACTACCGTGTTTTTCCAACAATACGGCCTCCCCCAATAGGAAGTCCCAGCATGTTTTATAGGCATGAAATGAAATTAAGCCCCTCCCCCCAAATTAAGGCCTATATTAAAACATGGGGAATGGCAGGGGGCTCGCCATTAGGAAGTACTTTTGTTGCACACCCGGATATGGTGCTGCCTGCGTTGACCTCGGCGTTGGTGGGGCACTTCATATCAGGAGACCTTCTGCCACAGTTGCTTTCCCTTCTCCCCGTGCTGCCACGGCACTTGGAGCAACGCTGCAGTGTTTGGCGCAGCCACGCGGCATTTGGCGTAGCCACGCACGGCCAGCCAGGGCTCCTCCCTTCAACTGGAGCCCGGCGGAGACACTTGGCTTCAGGCGCTCCTCTCGCTACCTGCCCGGGCATCGTTCGAAGGCAAAGCCCATTCTTTTAAAAACAACGCCCTACTACCGGTACAACAAAGCCTCCCCTGCCCGAGAGGGCAGCCCAACCCCACGTGGGGAGGCGAATCTCCCGGGGCTGCAGCGCAGGATCGGCCCACCCCGGGAGAAGCGCCCAGCCGCCATCCCTGCCTAGCGCCAGGCAGAGCACGAAGAGCTTCGCCTGAGGCACCCAGCACAGCTGACAGGTGGGCCCTCCTGCCTGGCGGCGGAATTCTGGCCAAGGCAGCGAGCGCCTCCCCCCCAGGCCCTCCACTCATCCCGCCAAGGCCGTGCCGGAGCCGGGCAGGCTGGGCAGAGCCGGGAAAGTGAGCCAAGGGTGCGCGCCCGCCTGCCAAGTGAAAGAGCCAGGCCAACCCGAGCTTGGCTTCCCAAGTGCCTCCAGCCCGACCCCAAAGGGGCCATCAGGAGAGGCTGCCCGAGACAGTGATAGCACCCACCCATCCGTGGACAGGGAATTAAGGCGATGGCCCGCGCTGCATCCTCCGAGCTGAGCCCTGCTGAGTGAGCGCCTCTGCCCGATGCCCGTGCCGCTGCAGCGTTTGGAGCTGCTGGCGCGTTTGGAGATGCGTGGGGATGGGGATGGGCTGGGTGAGGGGTGGAAAGGACAGGTGGCTTCGGGCTCTCTCCGCCGGACCTGCCAGCCAGGGAAGCAGCGCTGCCGTCGCCTCGCCTCCCTGTCCGCGGCTGGGTGGGCGCTATCACTGCCTCGGGCAGCCTCTTCTGGTGGCCCCTTCGGGGTCTGTCAGAGATACATTTCATACAGTGATGAACTTCACTGAAAGTGAAAAATCCTTAAATGTAGCCAGGGGAAGGGGGGAATGCTATAGTTATAAGATTTTATTACCACTGGGAAAACAAACCATATTTTTGGAAGCAAAAACATAACATGGGGGGCTCAGATAAAACAAATTCAATCTAGTCATATCTAACTCCTATTAAAATAGTGAAATTGATCACATTATTTAGGAATTCTGCTTTAGTCAGATGATAGGTATTCAAAGCTGAGCCAAGAGGATGTGATTATGTTCTTCAATGCTTTCATTTTCTTTTTAGTTTTTACTTCAAAATAAGATTCTTTTATCTAGAAGAATCCCCTTTGCTTACTTTACTAAATGAGATTAGCTTGGCTAATAATATTTACATGAGGAGGAATTGATTTACTGTGTGGTGCCATGATATCCACTATTAACCACACAGAGGATAAACCTGCTGTCAGTCAATTACATAGCTTCAACCTAGCCTACTGCCTGTGCTCTGGTCCCAATGTCTTGCCCAAACGAGTCAATTTGTTCAATGGCTGTTTGTTACCATGTAGTTAAAATTAGCTGTAGCAGGATTATTGGAAGCAGAATGGGACAACTTGCCATGGCCAACTTGCCGCGGCCAACTTGCTGCGGCCAACTCACAACAGGCCAATTCACTGCGGGACAACTCATCGCAGGACAATTTAACAATTATTTAAAATAATTTTAAAAATATTTTAATTTTTGTCTTTCACATTTCATTTTGCATCCTTTCTTTATTGTTTCTATTCCACCATTTGAGTTTAACTCTTGTCCCACAGCAGGTTGTCCTGTGGCAAATTGGCCACAGCAAGTTGGTTGTGGTATGTTGACTGCAGCGAATTGTCATAGACCCTATTAAAGGGAGGATATCCCCCCCCAACAATCCTTCACCAAGTTAGCTAGTTCCCCACAGCTCTTGGCAGTGATTTGGAAACAGGCCATTGGAGAAAGGAATGAAGCAAGTCTTGGGCTGAAAATTACCCTGTTCTCTGTGACATAAAATCATTTAAAGATAGAATAGAAAAAATGTAAGAAAAAGAAAGCAATATCCACAAATCAAGTTTAAATATGTTAAATAATGCTATGGAGTGAGTAGTATGTATGCATATGCTGTTTGCCCTAAATAAATAATTTCCCTGTCTTGCTGAATAGATTTCCTTCAGAGACCAATCTCAGAATATGCAAGATTTGGCATTGAGATAAATGCAAATAAATTATTTTTATGTGTACCAGGATGATGTGATTAACGACGTTAACATTCCAGTTCTGATCTAAACTCATCAGTCATATTTTAACTAAAATGTTAACATTGCTAGCAGTGCCCTTCCACTTACAAGTGAATTTTATGTTATCAGTAATAAATTATAAGTACATTTTGAGTAACATGTTCGCTTATGCACAGAACTGGAAGTAACCCCAAAATTAGGCGAAACAAGATTTGGGGAGGCCAGAATGGTGGAATTCTTGTTTATAATTCGGGTAAGTTCAACTTTACTTAGCGTAATTTTAAAAAATGCAAAAATTTTCCACATTGCCGAGGTCTTAAATTTTGCTTTTATCATATAAAGGGCTTGGTTTTATAGAAGACAATGAAATTTTTGACAATGCAATGGCTGGAGTATGGATTAAAACAGATAGTAATCCTACATTAAGAAGAAACAAAATCCATGATGGCAGAGATGGGGGAATCTGCATATTTAATGGAGGCAGAGGTTGGTGTCTTCTCATTTTTACTATATTTATACTTTCATTATATTTTCTAATAGTCTGGTACTGTTAAAAATAAAATAGAATTCCAGATCTAGAATGTGATCAGAATCTTCACCTTCAATTTGCCTTTAAACTATTCTTTGTAATTAGATGGATGATATATGTTCTTTCCTACCCTTAAATGACAGTACATTTCTTACTTACACCAGAGAAATACGTTCAAATATTTGTGGTTCTACTGGTTTGGCCAAGCAACCACCAATTTAAAAATAACTCCAAATTTGATTGTTTTGATTGGCTAAGAAACTTAACTTTTTTTCACTTACTGTAAAAATGGAACTGCAGCTCTCTTGAGCCATCCAAAATAGTTTGGTGTACAATATTCAAAATTCTAATAGCGTTATTGTAGCCCTTTTTTTTTGTATGGTAATGAAATTGAAGAAAACAGTATGCAACATTAGCAGATGTAGGTCTCTGGTTTAAGGATTTTTTTTAATTAAATGATACTAGCTTTCAACATAAAATACTTATTATTAACATTAAAAGGAAATTTGTACTAATATATTATAGGAGATGTGTGTGCCCCCCCCCCCCTTTTAAGAAGGTTTCAGACTGAAATTAGTGTTCTTGTTTTGATATTAGGGCTTCTTGAAGAAAATGATATCTTCAGGAATGCACAAGCTGGAGTTCTTATCAGCACAAATAGTCATCCGGTATTACGGAAAAATAGAATATTTGATGGATTTGCGGCAGGTTTGTGTTTGATTTGTATTTATTTTAGCTCAGAAGAATGGCAGATTTAAGTAGCTTAATAATCGAGCTAGTATTGAATAATCGAGCTTGCCAGTATTGAAGATTTATCCTGGGGGACACATGCTGACATTTTAATACATTTCAAAAACAATAATTGTGCTATTATATCAAAGTTCCGTTGTGGTTTTCCTCCTTTTTTTCTTTTAGAAAGTGTCATACCAGAGCACCATGTTTCAAACAGCTTTGCATTCTTCATGACATTTGCAATTATTTTCTCCCAAATGTTAGTAGTAACTATGTTAATTTGTTAGGGAAAAAAAGTAGTTTCTTCTGGCACCATCCTAAACCAACATTGCCATTGTGAATAGCAGCTGAATTGCTTTATATTGAAATCAAAAGATCTGTAATTTTTCATGAAATGTAGTTACCTGACATGACCCCAGTCATATTTACTCCCCTGGATGAATATGTCCTTTGTTGAATGTTCAAAGAATAGCCATAATTACTGAGATTTACTTTGCTTTTGTTGAATATCTTGGCATATGATATCATTACTCTTTAAGAATAAACTTCCACATAATATTGGAGCATCTCAAAGAGTATGGAAGGCCACACATAATAAACATGTAGAATTCCCAAGTAAGAACTTCAATACTACTGACAGAGTTAACTTTTAAAAAGTTATTTATGTACAGATAACAGATAATCAGAGTTGGAAGGGACCTTGTAGGTCATTAGTCCAACCCTCCGCCCAAGCAGGAGACCCTATACTATTTCTGACAAATGGCAGTCCAATCTCATCTTGAAAGTCTCAAGTGATGGCGCTCCCACAACTTCCGAGGGCAAGGTGTTCCATTGGTTGATTGTTCTCACTGTCAGAAAGTTTCTTCTTATTTCCAAGTTGAATCTCTCCTTGTTCAGTTTCCAACCATTATTCCTTGTCTGGCCTACAGGTGCTTTAGAAAATAGCTTGACTCCTTCCTCTCTGTGGCAGCCCCTCAAATATTGGAAGATTGCTATCATGTCTCCCCTGGTCCTTCTCTTTACTTGACTAGCCAAGCCCAGTCTCCAGTCCCCTACAGCAGTGTTATATGTTGAATAAAAATAAATGCACAGTAACTCATGCATTGGGTTGCTATTTTTAGGAAAATTTCATTTGAAAGATCAAATGAAGCCTGTTATATAATCCCAAAACTCAGTTCTTGCCCTGCCCCATTCCTTTTGTATTCATAGGATTGAACCTAACCATGCTTCCTAAAGAAATGCTCCAATAATTAATAAATATTACAAAATGTTGATACTTGGATTCTGAAAGTTGCAATCAGCTTCAGAATGAGTGCATCTAATGAGTTCTTTTTCCTAGTTGGCATTATTTTTAAGCCATGTGGGGATTACTTAACTAGTAAAATACAGGTTTTGTGTTTATTAAAATTATTTTTTTCTTTTTAACCTAAGGTATTGAAATAACAAATCATGCAACTGCAACTTTAGAAGGCAATCAGATTTTCAATAATCGGTTTGGAGGTTTATTTTTAGCCTCTGGGGTCAATGTGACAATGAAAGGTATGTAAATTATGCTTATTTGTAGAATAACAAAACTTAGAATATTTTACTTTTGCACAGTAAACAATTATCTATTTTCATAAGCATGGCTGTTTAAAAATAAGGAAACATCTTAACATTTAGAACAAGTATCAACATTTTCTCCATTATAAGCACAACCCACCCAGTCAACCATCCACTGAAGGGAAGATATCTCACAGTAGAACAGGCTTTTTCCATAAACTCTTGAATCTATTTTGGAGGGTTGGGTTAAAAAATTTCAAAAGGGCAGGATGGGAACATTTGCTTCAGGGAAGTTTGTTGAATGAGCAGAAATATACTGGTGTAAAAGATATATAACCCTAAGCTTTTGTAATGAGTACTGTGGTAATTTGATGTAAAGAAAAACCTTCCATTTCAAAGCTAGTTCATGTCCTGACTGCTACGGATTGTGAACATAAAATAATTTCACTCTCTAGAATGTCTGGCTCTGCTTCACTGATTAAATGTTCATATATATCATCAGTTTTAGGAGTCTTTCTATAGTTCTATATATTTGCATGAACTTTTCTCTGGAGTAGGCTTTTTCTTTCTTGCATAAAAGGTTCTCGGTTTCTTATATTCTTGTCTTTGTTATTTTGTTGATCTGTTTGGTTGCATTGATTTTTTAGGCATAATATCTATTTCCTTGCTCTTGCTTCCCTGGCACTTGTCAGGCTTCCTGGCCTCTTTTTCACTTAAAAAAAAAATTGGCGGTACTTCTGCTCAAAAGCTTTTAGTATTTTTATGTTCAAGAATGTGTTTGCCCTCCCTAAGCTTTCTTGCAAAATAAACAGGATAGGCAGCTTCAGCTTTGATTTGTAGTCATACTACAAAAAAGGGGGGGAGGATATGCAGGAGTTGATTGCATTCTGATTATTCAGAACTTAATAACATCTCTGAAGGCAGTCATGTTGTGAAGGGTCTAGGCTTCAGACAGGGTTTTTGTTTTTTTTGTAAATTTTATTTGAGTTTTCACAAAGAGAAAAAAAAATACAAATAAAACATCTTTTTTGAAAGCAGGTTTCTTCGTACAGACACAAATTCAGGTTCATGCTCATTTTTATATTCTATTCCATATCTTATTACTATTTTACATTTTCTGCATAGCTTCTCCTCTCTTTTAATTTTCTCAATTTTATTTTAATTGTCTCATCTCAGTTCAAATCATTGTATTTATATTTTTTGTCTGTCCTGTTTCAATTATCTATTATTTTTTCTCATTAAACAAAATTTCTCCTGTAGTTACTGATTGGAGTATGACGCCTTTATATCTTTTCCCTAAAGTTGTAACATTCAATATAATACATAACTTCCATTCGGATTCTGCTTGGTACATTCTTAAAATACACACTATATTCTTAAAAAAAGAAAAAATATATAAATGTATATAATTAAAACAACATTCCATTCCAATTCAATTCTATCATTAATATTAATATTCATTAAAGTCTTAACATCTTTAACATTACTTTTAAATTAAATAGCATACTTCTATGGGAACAATTATAAGCTTTCCATAGTTAATCCCCCCCCTCTTCACTTATATTGTATAAAACATTAACTAATTAAAATGTTCCCGTTCCTTCCTAATTCAATTTTCTCATTTATTTTATTTCACTTATTTTATTCACAAACATTTCACTAAATTACACTATTTTATCCCTCATTTTAATCATACGCTGTTTCCAATTTTCTAAAGTTATTTTTATTACTAATATAACAATACAATCTTATGTACCTTTACAGAATCCCTTTTTCAGTTAGATTTTCACCCATTATCTCTAAATAGGTCCTGTTTCTCTATATCTTGCTCCGGTCCTTTGTAACTTCTTTTCCTTTCCTTCTTCCCTCTCTTCTTCTCTCTCCCCTTTTTACCCCCTTGTCTCTCTACCTCTATTTCTCTCTTCTGTATTCCCCTTTTCTGTTGCTTTCCAGTATTATACTTATTTTTCAAATTATTTTTCTTTTCTTTGGTTGTTTTTTTAAGTCTTAAATTCTCCATTCTCTTTCCCTCCTTTCCTTTTTCTTCCCCACATATTTGTTCATTAAAGATGGCTTCTTCTTTGTCCTAGTCTTCTTGTTTTGCAGTCTTGTTGTTTCTCATAGTTCCAAATCTCCATTTCTAAAAATTGAAAGATGAAGCCAAAAGAACGCTTCCCTTCTTGTGCATCTTCTTTGTACTTTTTAAGTTCCATTTTCAATTCATCCAGAAGTGGTGCCATTATATAAATTTTTAAACAACCACTCAGTTGATTTTAGTCATTCAAATATAATAACCAAAAATCCAAAGATCACCAAATAATCCAAATACACGCAAGCTGTTTCTTTTTTGCTCTTTTTTTTCACTTTCTCTTCCTGGGGTTACTATTTAGTTGCAAAGTTTCAGTTAAAATGTATCTTTTAGAAGTTTTGTTGAAGTTTTACTTTAGATTCTTTTTAATTCCAGGCAGTCTCCTCCCTCTTCCAGATCCTGCCCTTTTCTCTCTCTTCCTGCTTATGAAAAAGAAAGTTTTTAATGTCCAGAAATCTTTATTACCCCTTTGGCATTTTGTTTTATTTTCAGCTTAATTGCCTATTGATGTCAAAGCGGATTTTTCCGATTTCTTATTTAAGTCTCTTAGTTGTCAGTATAGGGAAGGAGAGAGAAGAAAAAAAAGCCAAACCTTTCCCTTTTCACTTTCCTTCGCTGCTTCCGACTCTTCTTTGGGAGCGATGTTATTTTTTGTAAGTTTAAATTCCAGGGTATCTTGGTTGTTGCTTTTACAATTTAACCCGGTCAGCCAAAACTTTCACTTCTTATCTTCCTCCTGCACATTCTTTTCCGGTCAAGTTCTTCTTTGTGGTGGCCATTCCTGACCACCGCTGCAACCGCCTTCGGGAAAGGGAGTAATGGCCAGCTGAGGAGAGATGCGGCTCTCCTCGACCGTGCTGGCGGTCTCCCCCCTCTTCACCACCTCTACGGGTGGCTTAGCCCCGAAACCAGCTGGCTCGGGGCGCTCCAGCGGCGAGCCCAGACAGAAACCGCGCACAATCGCAGATTTTTGTCGCCGAAGCCCTTCAAACCGGAAGTTGGCTTCAGTTTTTGAGTGTTGACCATTCCCAAACATTGGGGACCACATAATATTCAGTATTACTCTCAGGACCTCAGAAAAATAGACTCTACAAGCCAAAGACAGATGGGACAACTGTTGACAAGGAATGAGGTGCTCCTAGATAGCTTTGCTGCATTTAAGAAATAAAGCATGCATGAAGACTTGTATTACTAAATTCCTTTGAAATTATAATTAAAATTTGAAGGAATGTTTTAAGAAGTTGAAGGTTTCCAATTCAGATTATTTGTGTAATCAAACATCAATATGGTAAACTAATACTGTGAAATTTGCCATTTAATATAGATAATAAAATAATGAACAATCAAGACGCCATTGAAAAAGCTGTTAGTAGAGGCCAGTGTCTATATAAAATATCAAGTTACACCAGCTATCCGATGCATGATTTCTACAGGTAAGCAACTAAACATATGTCCTTCTGTCCTGTAGATTTGGATTTTGCATGGAAAGCCTAATTATTTCTTTCCTTTATTTTTTGTTGTAGATGTCATACATGTAATACCACGGACCGCAATGCTATATGTGTAAATTGTATTAAGAAGTGCCATCAAGGACATGATGTTGAATTTATTAGACATGATAGGTATGTTGCATAACCTTTGACTGAAAACCTATTAAATATAAGTTGAACTTTTTCAATAAATATTTAAAAGATTTCTCTCTTTCAGGTTTTTTTGCGACTGTGGTGCTGGAACACTGTCCAATCCCTGTACACTAGCTGGAGAACCGACACATGATACAGATACACTATATGACTCTGCTCCTCCTATAGAATCTAATACACTGCAGCACAACTGAGTTACTTTTGAGGGGGGGAAAAGTCCTGCCATTCTATTGTAACTGTTATTTTGGTTTTTTGGGTTGTTGTTTTTTTTGGAGGAAGTTATACTTGCCCATTTCTGCAGAGACTTTAAAATGGATAATAAATGGTGACACTATGGAGCTCAACCTACCAAAAAGAAAGTGGCAATATGTTGACTCAGGATAACAGAACTGGGCGTTTCAGCATTACTGTGTAAAGACTAAGGGACAGGTGTGAAGAAAGTAAGCCGCGTATTTGTACAGATGGCAACTTCCAAAAGACTGGTGTTTCTACAAGTAGCATTGAAACGCAGTCCCATTTGCAGTAGTCCTACTCTATAGACGAGCAGCAGTCTTTGTTGCTGCCTTTATGGACATGGGTACCAATTGCTTTTTGTAATATGGTAAAAATGTGAGCTAGCACTTCCGCATTTATTTTGGTTTTTTAACATTTATTCAGATTGAGATGATTTTAATGCTTTAATCTCATGTAGTTTTTAATTTCAAGCAAATCTTTATTGTACTTGAATGTGTCCTGTTTTGTTAGCACACCTACACTTGCTGTAACTGTACTCATGTCCCAGTATGTATGTTCTTTCTATGAAAGAGAACACTAATCTTAAATTATATCCAGCAATTTTTCTGGTATCCTTTGCAGTTAGAATCTCCCCTTCCCTTTTTTCCAATCCTCATGATTTACATCACCTCACAAAACAATGTTTTAATGAGACTTTTTGGGAGATAATGCACTATAAAACAAAGTGCACAGGTGATAGTTTGCAAGAGGAGGTTTTACTGTGTTTTAAAGTACACTGTAAGAATCTCCCTAAAACAATCCTGTATTTTACTCTGTTCACAGTTTTATTGAACAGTCTAGACATTACTCTTATGAACTGCTGACAATTGTAATTTCCTGCTCTAATGAAGATGAGAAAAAGTATATAGACGCCCTATACAGTTTCATAGCTTTTTTTCCATTTATGTGTATTGGTGACAGTGGGTAATCAACAGCCTGAAAGTGTATGCATGTACCATAACATCTAGACTTAATATATTGTGGAGTATTCAATAATCATTATGTAGAGGGTAGCTAAGAATTAAAAGGGTTTAATTTCCTAGGAAAGACAATGGAAAATGGTCATTTTTAAAAAATAAAGTTTATTAGATCATTGTGTTGTCTACATACTGCCTTCGAAAACTGCTGGAAAAACTATACAGGGTCTCAAACATGAAGCAGAGTTAGTTTGTCAAGATAGTCTCTGGCTGCTAATGCTCCTTCAGCTATCCAACAAAGATTCCTGCAAAAGCAAACATGCAATTATTCCAGCACAACTACTCAATCCTCAACCCATTTTAATATGCAGTAAATGTGTAAATTTGGATTTACCGATCCAGATTATGCATTTTTCCAGTGATCCCATTGGAGCCTTAACACAGCTTTGACATTGCACTTCAGGTCCAAAGCAGTATTTTTAAAATTAGTTGAGAAATTGGTCCTCCAGTTATGAATTACAACTCTGTAATTCTAGCCAATGGTTAGAGATATTGCAGGTTGTAGTTCAGTGAAAGTTGGAAACTAGGGTTACCTCCCCCTATATTCTCTGTCAATAACTCTCCCGTTTGTTTTATGCCTTCCCTCGGGTTGCATAGGTACTTTAAGGAATATTTGTGACTTTTCTATTAAAAAAAGGTATCGTTGAATAAGTGATCAACTTACCTAAATACTTTCATTGAAAGAACAGCCTTTTCAAATTCTTTTGCCTTTTTGTGGCCTTTCTGAATCACTTCTTCTGGAATGTCAGCAAGCCGTGCAGCATTAAATCCATAACTTTTAGGGCAAGCCCCCTTAACAAATTTATAAAGGAATGTGATTGTTTCTTGACTAGGATCTTCACATTCATTTTCTACCATACAAGCCTGGAAAGACCAAGACATTAGCAATTTAGGTTTTTTTTAAAAAAACAAACAAACACCTCCACTACTATAGTAACATAGTTGCTTAAGATAGGTAACCCAATATTTTTTAAAAAATAAATTCCAAACATGCAGAATTCAAGAAATCACAATGGCTTAGGAGTTCTAGGAATTGAAATCCACACATCCAGCAATTGCTGGTTTGAAAACACTACCCTATATGGAAACATTTAATTCTCAAATGATTCTCAACATAGGCATTTCATTTCTCATGAAAATATAAATCATTAGTACAGCCCATAATGACAAACCATACATATTTCAAGAATGAAAGAGAAACCAGTAAACTTTGAAGTCACTTTGTCCTTAGAAGTGTTTCAAGCTTTGTATGGGATCATTTCAAAACAGGAATATAACTTATCACTGTAGTGAACAGAATGTATTTTGCACCCTTTTAAATAAGTACATTTCACAGTAGTGCTTAAAAGTTTGTGAATAATTTTGAATTTTCAATATTTCTGCATAAATATGTCTAAAACATGTTCCGTACACAAGCCCTACAACTAGATTGGATCTTGTTAATTGATTAAACAAATGTCAAAAGCATTGTTCATTTATTTATTGAGGAAAATGATCCAAAGCTACACTATTTTGTCCCAAAGGTGTTTGTTCAAAAGGCAATTCGACTTAGTTTTTCCTTGGTTTCATTTCTTATCCAAGATGCTTCTTCAGAACTAAAGAAACAAAGTCCAGTTACCTTTTGACAAAGCACCTTTGGGACAACCATGACCTGGATAATTGAGAATCTCCATAGATATTTATATATTTGTATGTGCAAAAATGTGTGTGAACCTTTGCTTTCAGTAACTGGTGTTCCTGCTTTGGGCAGCAGTGACTATAATGAAACAATTCTGATCAGTCTTGCACATCAGCTTAGAGGAATTTTAGCCCAATCCTCACAGAACAGCTTCAATTCAGGGAGGTTAGTGGGCATCTTGTGTTTCAGGTCCATTCACAGCATTTCTATAGGAATAAAGTCAGGATGTTAAGCCATTCCAAAATGCATTCTGCTTTAACTAATCTTTGTACATCTTATGGTTTAGGTCTTATTGCATGACACAGATTCTGAATTCAGTTCATGACAGGAACCTTGATATTTTCCTGCAGAATTTGCTGGTACAATTCAAACATTACAATTCAATCAATGACAGCAAGCCATTCTGGCAGCAAATCAGACCCAGACCATGATATTCCCACTATGTCCCATAGATGGGATAAGGTTCTGCTGGAATGCATAAAAAACACTTTATTCAAGTCACAGGTGGCATAGTGGTTAGAATACAGCACTACAGGTTACTTCTGCTAATTGCTGGCTGCCAGCAGTTTGATTCTCACTGGCTCAAGGTTGACTCAGCCTTCCATCCTTCCGAGGTCAGTCAAAGGAGGACAGAGATTGTTGGGGACAATATGCTAACTCTAAAACCGCTTAGAGAGGGCTATAAAGCACTGAAGCAGTATATAAGTTAAGTGCTATTTCTATTTTGGTCTCTTATTCACAGACCGTTTTTCCAATAGTGCTTTCCCCATGGAGTCTTTCACAAACAGTAAATGGACAACAATGCTCTTTTTGGAGTAGTGGCTTTCTCTTTGCAACCTTGCCATGCGCAGCATTGTTCAGTGTTCTTGTGATCATAATCTCATGAATACTAACGTTTGCTGAAACAAGAGAAGCTTTTAGTTCCATAGATGTTCCCTGGGCTTCTTTGAGGAGTCCTAGAATGATATATGCCTTGCTCATGTGATCTTTGTTAATTGCCCAACATGGATAGATGTTGAACTGCCTTTATTTATACATGATCTGCCTAAGAGTGGATGAAGTCCAAACTCTTTAGAAATATTTTTGTGACTTTTTCCAGCCTGATGACCATCAACAGCTGATTATTTTGGAGGTACTCTGAAATGTCCTTTGTTTGAACCATGACACACCTACCTGTGTTGTGAAGATGTGACTCCGATAGTGAATACCCAGAATTCTGTTCTTTAATGCAGCACCTCTCATACTCATATCAAACTGATCAAAACACCTGGCTCTTAATTTCTCCTTCAAATGAACTGATATTCCTACAGGTTTACATACTTTTGCCATACAGAAACATGTTGCTTTGGATCACTTCCCTCAATAAATGAATAAAAGTATTGACTCATTTAACTGGGTTCTCTATTTAGTTTTAGGACTTATGTGGAGAACAGTTCATATTTTAGATTCTATTTCTGCAAATATTAAAAAATTAAAACGGATTCATAAATGTTTAAACATTGAATTTGCACTGTATTGCGATGCAAATTAAGGATAAAGATCAGAAATTTACCAAATTTAGGAAATGAAGGGAAAACAATTTTACATATTTTTTTGCTAATTTTAGTTCTTGTTAATCTATTCTTGGAAACAAGGATGGTTTTCATTTAGCATAATCACTTTTAACAAAGAACTTAAACATTTAATATGTCTAATAATATAAGAAGCTACCATTACAAGCATAGAATATTACATACCATGTGTCCCAATCGTACAGAGAGACTGTGGGAATAATCTTCTACTAAAGAATGGTAATGTGTTGAAAACATTGTACAACACTTAATATTCTCTGAAAGTTCTTTGACAACCGCACTAGCAATAGCAGTTCCATCAAAAGTCGCTGTTCCTCTCCCTGAAAAATTGAGAGATAAACTGTAGCAAACTTATTGCAACAGATAACTACAGGTCTTGACTTAACAACCACAGCTGAGCCTAGAATTTGGGTCATAAGTCATTGCAGTGATAAGTCGAGTCATCACATGACATAACTTTATTTTATAACCAATGGTCATTAAGTGAGTCACTACAATCAGTAAGTGAATCATGATGGTTAAGTTTGAATCTGGCTTATCCAATGGGTGGGCTTTTTTGGTCAGAAAATGACAAAAAAAAATGGTACAGCAATTGTAACTTTGAGGACAGATGGTAAGTAGCTAAACTTTGACTAACCCTAACCCTTTAGCGTAAGTCAAGGTCTCCCTGTATCTCAGTTTAGATTTAAGAACCCTCCTTTGTCAATTTCCATGAAGCCAACCCATACACCCACTGCACCTACCTAAAGCCTGTAAGTTCCTGGCTATTTTACAGTTGGATGATATCAATCATGAACATTTTACCACCTTTCTTGCCACAGTTGTTCAGTGAATCATTGTAGTTGTTGAGTTAGTAAGACGATTAGGTGAAACTGACTTCCTCATCAACTTTGTCAGAAAGTTGCAAAACGTGATCACATAACCCTAGGATCCTGCAACCATAATAAATACATGCCAGCTGCCAAGCATATGAATTTTGATCACATGGGCATGCTGAAATGGTCCTTTGAAAAACAGCCATAAGTCACTTTTTCCAGTGCTGCCATTAACTTCGAAACGAATGCTTGTTAAGCCACCAAGGACTATCCTTCAACAATACCTTTAATATTAGCAACAAGATCTACCTAATCCACATCCTTGGGAAGGATTCAACATGTAGATAAAAATGTCGATCCAATCTAAAAATCTGGCTGACTGTGAAATTAACCATAATAAATAATAAACTGGCTGTGGTGGTCATGGTTAGAAGCATACTGTGTGCCATATCAAAAAATCTTGGATGGCACTTGGAAAATCTACATTGATGAAATTTCCATCCATCTTTGCAGAAGGAACAGTTTGGATCTGCAGATATGCTATGCCAATGCATTATGTCATTCTAGGTTCTTAAGAACCTGATGCGTCAAGCATTTCCTAAATTAAAATTATTTATAAAATCTTGTTCTAAAACAACTATAATAAAAGTCAGACATGAAAAGATACAAATTAAAGGTTCTATAGGAAAAGGTTTGTTTCTACATATGGAATCAAGAATGGGCCTAAACTACTTTTTACCTTGATATTTTTATCATTTTGCCCTATTTGCAAGTCCCACCTTGTAAACAGAAGTTGGAAGTATACAAATTGGAGGTTTAGGATAAGAAAATGTATTGTTTTTCTGGATGTCTGGTCCAAATATTTTTGAACTATTAAATAAAACTGTTCATGAGAGCCTAGCCAATGATAGAGGTTCTACTTGCCAATTAAAGCTTTGACTGTCAGTATTCAGATCAGATAATTTCAGAAGCATTAACTATGCTTTAGTTTGTATAGAACTTACTTCCAGCCTGTTAATCACGTCAGTTATCTTAAATAAAAATGATATATACTGTGTTCCAAAATGTTTGGTTTCTCCAAGGAAAAGGCAAAATAAGCAGGCAAGGTCTTCATTAAAATGTTTAAGCACAAACTGGACAGTCACATCGTTCTAATGATCTTGCCTTTGGCTTTGTATGCTTGACCTTACATGCACTTGAAGGTGTTTATGATTCAGCAACTCTGTATATGGCTTTAATTGTCTCTTAATTTTCTCATTCGCTGTCCTTCCAAATCATCTCAATTTTGATGAATTAATTTATATTCGTAACATTTTATTTACCCACAGCTATATATTATATATCCTTGGAAAAGTTGATCTGATGTTTAGATATGGCTGGGCAAGAAAAACCCACCATTAAGCATTGCAAGCATTTGTCTAATTTAAACTGGATTCTGGGTCTTTGGTATATCCTGCAATTATTCTTAGATGTTTGCATGACTCTTGCCCAGGTAGTAGCAAAGAGTCTTTCATTTAAAGAAAATGCAAATCATATTATATGTTACTTTGCCTTTCCAAGCCACACTGAAGTTGGCAAATATATGGGCAACACAAATTTGATTTTGAAGCAGCAAATTTCTGGAAGTCTTTAAATCCAATTATGACACTCTTAACCAATCAACATACATACCTAGCTCGTCCATAAGAACAAGGGAATGCTGTGTTGCATGTTGCAGTATACTCGAAGTCTCACTAAGCTCAACAAAGAATGTACTCTCTCCTAATGGAAAACATATTAAGATATTAACAAAATGTAGCCGGAGGCAGGAATATCACATGCAACAAATCTAAAAATTTCCCAATTATTGGTTGCACATACTGTGTAATACACAACTACAGCTTCTGTTTAGTGCAGTAACAAGTCACAAAACACTATTTCAGCTTGATTTATTTCCATGGTTGGCTAGACCAGCCCCATATGGAAAGATCTATGAACTGCACAAGATAAGAAGTTACACTCCAACAAATATGGAGAATACCATACAGGTAATCCTCGAGGTTCATTTAGCGATCATTCAAAGTTAGGTCAGCCCCCAAGTACTTATGACACAGTCCCATGGTTATGAATGTTGCAGCACCATGGCAGTCATTTAATCTTATGAACAACCACTAAGGCACTGCAATAGTCGCCTGCCTCCCTTGCGCCCCGCACGGGATCTCCATACGCACTGGGCCTGTGGAGACTCACTTACCTTGCAAAGATCTAGCACAGGGGTGTCAAACTTGATTTCATTGAGGGCCACATCAAGGTTGTGTTTGACCTCGGGGGACGGTGGGCGTGGCCAACTCACCATCACTCAGGTCAGGGGCGCCTGTGATGGTCTGAGCTCCGTTTTCAGCTGCAACAGCAACCTGCAACAATCTGCCAGCGAAAACAGAGCTCTGGAGGGCCAACCATGGCCTTTGTGAGCTCCATTTTCACGGCAGAGACACTGCGGGCCAGTTCTTCACTGTTTCCAGGGCAGCCCCACAGGCCACATCTAAGTACCGCACGGGCTGTATCCGGCCCCCGGGCCTTGAGTTTGACACCCCTGATCTAGTCAGTTGTCTCCACTCCAGCCTCTATGCCAATGTTTTTTGCCTGCTTCCATAATTCAGGCCTCCTGGATATTCACAGAGAATTCGCTACTGAGCTCATATGAACTTGTGCTACTTCATATCTCCATTCTCTGCAAATGGAGGCCTGAATGAGATCCGTGCCAAAAGGCTTTGCAAACGGACAGATGGCTTTGGCACTTGAGGTCTTCTGTCCGTTTGCCATTTCCTTGCCAAAGGCTGCTGAGCAAGAAATTGCATCCCTGCAGGCTCCAGTTGTCTTTGCAAAAAGCTTTTGCCACCAAGAACAGAGGCCAGGCACCTTCTGTTTTTGGTGGCAAAAGCCTTAAGCAAAGTCTTGCCAGAGTCTGCAGGGGCAGGAGATTGCATTTTTGCAGGCTCCGACTGTCTTTGCAAAAAGCTGTTGCTCCCAAGAACGGAGGCTAGGTGGGGCATGCACATCGCTCCTGGCCTCTGCTTTTCGCGCCAAAGGCTTTTTTGCAAACAAAACAAAAAACCCAGAGCCTGCAGGGACACTAGCAAAGAAATCACGGCAGAGAGGCAGGAGAACACAGCTCACTTGATCATCAAGATCTTCAAAAGGTAAGTCAATCTCCACAGGCCCAGTGCCTGTGGTGAGCCAATGGGGCACTAGGCCCCCCATGGTCTTCCCAACACTGAGATACTTATGCGCACTTAATGACCTGAGCATTCGATTAGTGAATGCATTGGGTAAATCAGGGTAAACCATTAAAGAATTCCTCAGGTTGCAAATATAGGCTCTATTATATGAGCAGGCTCTATTATAATTGGTAAGTCGAGGACTATCTGTAAGAGTTTCTAGTTTTCTTATTTAATTCAACCCTTGGTTTAAGGCAACATTCAACTTTGCAGGTTTTTCATGCTTCTCTTCACTATAATGCTGATATTTTATGAATTTACTAGGAATGCTCTGAATGTTCAACCAGAAAATAATGGTATCTTAAAACAATATACTTTCAACTGCCAGACAATTGAAAACATGCTGTGTATTTAAACTCTGTTATTTTCTAGTCATTAATAGAGGAATTGGAATTGATTTGTACTTTCTAGGTTTAGCATGAGATTTTTTTTACCTCAGACTGAACTTGGGAGGTAGTTTAGAAAGAAATCCTTCAATTTGATCATTACATATTGTGTTGAAAAGGTAATTAGTCTTTTTTAGCATTTTTACAAAAACGTGTGAAACCTACCTGACATAATTCTATCTGAAGCTCCTAGTCTAGTGAACACTCTATCAACAGGAGTAAGCCTGCAAGATTCAGCAGGTACATAGCATCCCAACTGAGCCATTATTACCAAGAGACCAGCCTGCAAAGCAACAAAGGCAAAAGCAAATAACTCTTTTTATTAACTTGTTCTGCAACCAGAGAAATTTCTCTTCATCTGCTCCTCCATCTATACTGCCACTAGTGTTCAAGTTATTCTACTGAGATCAGAGAGCCAATCTGGTGTAGTGGTAAAGGTACGAGGCTAGAAACTGGGAATCCATGAATTATAGTTCTGCCTTGAGATTCTCAGTCATCCAGATCATGGCTGTCCCAAAGGTGCTTTTTTTTTCCCAAGAGGCAACTGGACTTTCTGGTTTTCTTTCTTCAAAAAAACCCCCAGAAAGTCCAGTTGCCTTTTGCCTAAAGACAGCAACCAGGACAGTCAGAATTGCCACCAGAAGTTGGTATGGTTACATGTAGTGTTGTCATGCGTTATGAGTGTAGCAATGGAGTTCCCAGTCCCAATGATCTAATTAAGGTTTGGATTTAGCCATTTAACACAGAACTGTTCCTAATGTATATAGCACACTTGGAGTCTCACAAGGCTATTTACAATTTATCCCACATGCTCTAAAAGCATATATTATCAACATTCTAGCAAACAATTTAACACATTATATTGTTTAGGCATCTTTAAAAAGAAAATGGAACATATACAAGGAAAGTTCAATGGTGTCTTTCTTTCCTATGTCAGGCACAGTATCATCTGAATGATAGGGAAACAGTTTATATAAATTCACGGATTTCTATGAAAAGTTAAGCAAATTAAATTCAATAAAGCAAAATTGATTACTCCAGTCACAGAATCTGGACCAGTAAAAAGTGTCAATAACCCTGAGTCTAATCCTCCTTTGAAAACTGTCCTAGATCGGAGCAGTAGTTTTCATCTGAAATATCCTTGTATGATAGCATGTAACTAATACTTACATAAAAAGATGTTTGGGGCGGGGGGGGGGGGGGGGGGGGG